ATCAGATGAAAAAATTATACAATTAGTTGTTCAACGTGGAGTCATCACTGTGAAAATCATGTATGTAATTATTTAAATGGTGTACCACGTTCGTTTTAAAACCTTTAGGTATTTTTAAAAATAAAAAGTAATTTATAATAAATATAACAATGATTACTTTATAGAAACTATGGTCTGTGACTGTGTTTTAAAAAAAAATTAGATACAATATCTGTATTTATAAGAATCCTAGTAATAACGCGTGATTGCGTTATGTTTATAGCAATGGCTTATTATTCTAATGTTGAGTAAAGTTTTACTAATCGATAATAATATGCATTCGTCGATGAAAAAAAAAATGTTTAACATTTGATATTTCTTAATATTTGAAATAAAATATTCAATTACCAATACAATTATTAATTGAAAACTGTAATGATGTAATAATTAATAATTATTTGTTTGGTTTTACTATAAACGTTAGAATAAAGTATAACGATATTGTAATTAGAAGAAAATTATGAACTGTAAAAATGCACTTATCAAATTTATAATTAATTTAGTTTGTTAAACAAATGAACAGAATATAAAAAGAAGTTAAAAAATAATATGAAAAATGTAATAAATGAGATAAAACTACGTACGATAATGGACAAAAATGTACATTACTCAATAATATCTAGTAAATATCTGGGGATATAAGGTTGTTTGGAAAAATAGTCGTTTTTAAATCAACACATAGGTTAAAACTTAAAATTTATTATAAATTATGAGCGATCTCTGGTATGTATTTATCAAATTTTCTACTATTAAATGTCTTGCATAATTTATCTATTCTTTTAATTGTTTAATAATATTTCTTTTCATTTTCTAGCGATTTTTGTTTTAGTATATTGAACTATTTTCAAATGGTTTAGCTTTTTTTTTATAGGGCTCTTATAAATTTACAAATATTTGGATGAATAACAGTTAATATAGATAAAAATTCATTATACTATCATTACTATCTCTCTCTATTGGTTTTATCGAACTATTGGGTTTTGGAAGATTGCGTTTAACTATCAGCCTAGTGACTCCAAATTGTAATTGAAAATTTTAGCTTTTCCTTTTCCTGTTTCTATCCATGAAAATACACCATGACAAATTTTCCAAACGACCGATTGACGTGAACTCATATAACTGACGATATTTTATCCAATCGTAACCATTTTATTTTATTATTGTAGTAGAAATTGTGTTTGGTGGTAGTTCTATATACTAGACAATACACACCAGTAACTTATCTGAAACCGGTGTAGAAACTAAACCATTTGCTTAAGTAATCAGAATTGATTATTAAAATCATTAAGTATTATAACAATTTATTATGATAATTATTATTTTAAAATGTAAATAATAACCAATTGATTTTTTTTCTGACTATTAATTCTGTCATTTTCAGATAATTATAAAAAGCCTTATGAACAATTTTCAGACACTTATTTATTTAATAAGCTATCTAGAAAATTTTAACACCACAGAATAATATTACTATATCTAGTACTTTCTATGGTGTCATTTTATAAGACCTAAAATAATATACGTTTATCGGTAATAATGTAGTCAGTTACTTCTTCTTGAACAATATTTATAGATTGAAAAATCAAATAGGTATATGTTTTATAAATCATAATAGATTTTATTCATAATATATTTAAAAATTCAAGGGGATAATATATAAAGTACAATAATTTATTTAGATAATATTCATTTGAATTTTTATTTCGTTACTTTCGTTTATTTAATAAAAATATATTGTAAGTAAAAATAATATTCATTTGAAATAACAATTTGTGTCGGAATAGAAAAGTCATGGAATATAGTAAATAATTAAGTAACAAAATACGGTTTATAAGTATACTTAAAATTTAAAAAAATCAGAATTGTAATATATAAATAATTTAAGTATACTATATTAATTTATCCATGGCGATGCACTTATAAGAAACATAACATATTCATCTAACAACAAGTAGCAATATCTCATTTATGTTTGGTACTAATTACTATAAAAAATTAATCAATTTTTTTAAATTGTTGTTTGAAAACAAATATTGGTTTAATGTTTTTATTTTATATGTATAAATAGCTATACAACGAAAAATAAATCGAACTGTATAAAATATTAGATTTCAAATTTACATGATATGATATAAATTATTTTCTTGAGGCGTAAAAATGATTTATTGTTAAAAGTTAACACAACTTATCTTTACTAAAATGTAATTAATATTTTGTAGCAGTAGTTATAAATTTATATTAAAATCCCATACAGTATAGTATATATCTACAACTATAGGTGTTTCAGAAGTGTTTATTTTCTGCATCAGAAAAAAAAACTATCATTTTAAAATTTTGTAAATACAGTAATAACCTACTCTAATTGCTTTGAATTACATTTTAATTTGAGAGAAAGAATTAAAAATAAAGTACCCAACCCTTACGATATCATATTTTTATCTACAAAGGTATAAGCTATTAAAATATGTAAATAAATATACTAAAATGGATTTATTAATAATTGTAAATATAATAAATTTAGATTTATCCACTCATCCTTCCAAAGACCGTATGGATACCTTGTTAAGTACAACTTCACCCTGAATCTATAACTATATATACGTATATTATAGTAAAAGATATAATGAATATACTTAGTATGAATTGTTTATTTAAGAAAAGTGACAAATCATAATTTTTCAAAAAAATACTTAAAAAAAAAAATTGTGGTTATAGACCGTTTGTAAATTTTTGAATTTAATTATACTATTTGAACAAATTAGTACAATAGTTCTTTTTATATATGAATTCAAATATTTAGTTTGCTTAAATATACCCAAATTTTTTGTTTTTACTTAACCCACTTTAAAAAAATCTATTCATAAATGTATATGGTATAAAATTAAAATAAATTAATGAAACTTGGATACGGTTACATATTATATTTTATCGACATTATCAATCCATTATCAAGGTTAATTTTATACAGTAGCTCAGTGTTTGCGTGTCACTAAATCGAATTCATCACACAGTGAGTAATTTTTTTCATTTGATTCTCTATTCATGGCTTACCCTATTCTGTTTTAAATGATTACCCTGATGCTAAAGGTTTAGGATCATGTTGAATTACACTTAAAATGTGTGCTTTAATAAAATATTGCTTCTGATTTTATTTACAGGAACAACAAATTACGATAAAAAATTACTGTAAAATATATAAATACGTCTATAATATTATTATTATTAATATGCTAGAGAAATAATACAACTATGGTGCTCTAAAAATAATTAATCCTTAATATATGTATAGCATTAATATTATATAGTTATATTTTTATATTAACTTATTTAAAATTAATTTTTATTGTTTTAAATAATAGTAATTTATTTTCAATAACGTTTCAAACAACACATAATATTTTCAAACACAATGTTTCATAATTGATTAATAAAACAATATAGTTAACTTTATCAACATTTTCTGAGAATTTTTAACATTTAATTTTTGTGTATTATGATTTATTTTAAAATTATATTATTTTAAATACTTTTTGTATCGGTGTAAGATTATGTAAAAAACTATTTTATTTATATATTTTATGTACATTTTGTAATTTATAAATTAAATTGTTAGTAGAAATTAAAATTTTATTTTACTACGAAAATTGTGTTATTAGCAATTATAAAATTTCAATTATTTAATTTTAGAACGTTGTATTTGTGATTGAAAATATGCTGAAGGAAAATTTTTTAAAACTAAAATTTTCAAAGAAGCAAAATTTTTTATCTGGCTGCCACCCTCCTATTACAAAATGTGAAAAATAAATAGTTTTGTTTAATTTACTCCAAAGGTTTTGAACAGGCTAATATATACTATCAATAATTAAAAATGACAAGAACTCAGGACTTTCCGGATCAATTAAAACTGTCACTATATTTTATTAATCCTAAAAAAAAAAAAAAACACTAAACAGTATGGTTGATACTCAAAAACAATTTAATTTACCATTCTAGTCACTTTTGCTTTAACTAAAATTTAAAAAAACATATTTATCCAAGTTTGATATTGAATTTTAATATTTTGTACATCTATGCCTCACTTGTATGATACATATAAAACGTTAAAATTACTCCTACCTCGGCTCAAGTAGGTTAGATGGTTATAAAATGTATTAAAATAACTTATGATATAAATACTTTTCCTATTCTGCTCTTCTGCGTGGAAAAATAACGAAACATTTTTAATTTATCTTTATTTTTCTTAATTAAAATTGAAAAGCCAAAGTTTACAGACAAATAAATCTTAACGGGGCCATTATCAGTACTGTAAAATATGTTGTAAATTACATATTGACTAATATCTAGATAGTTTAATGTTTCTTGAAAATGTGGCTCTATTAAATATATGAGTCTGTTGGCAAATTTTCACATTTTTCCATGAAAAGTGTACTGAAGTTAAATTATTTTATCCACAGTTTCAGGTATTTATCTTATTAATATTATTAATGTAATATAAATATTATCTTATATTTAATTACATTTTTATTTATTTAATTTCTTTCATATAAAATTCAGATAACTGAAATATTGTATCAATATCAAATTCGAATCGTATTTATGTTAAAACTCAATTAATAACTAAAACGAAAACAAATTATCAAAAATTCATTATTATATACAATTTTTGTAATAAAGGTTAAAGCATACTTTTATAGATACAATTTTTAAATGTAACCTTTGAAGTTTTAAAGTTGTAAAACTTTTTCTTGAATAATAACCATGATTGTGATTGATGTCTATCATTTTTAAAGGACATTTTGTGCAATTTCCATTAATCGGTAAACAGTGTCATTATAAAATGCTTTCAAAAGATACTAAAGTCAAATAATTATTGGGTACTTGCAAACGCAGTTAAGCGATGGGAACAGATATTAAAATAAAATAATTAACAATATTTTGTTTTCAAAGCGTTGAGCACATACTTTTTTTTTGTTCCTCATTAAATTTGCATCTCTACTGTCCTGCGCATTGCCTGGTGCGTGTGAGCCCCACAGCCGTAATGCCATTCTCATATATACAACAGTTATAATGACAACGGGAACTAGATACTGGACAAATAGAAGCGTTACCCTGTAGAATAGCATAGAGCGCTCTGGAAGCCGAACGTTGTAGCAGAACGGTTTAACCAACTTCCGGCCGTCTGTAACATATAATAAACAAATTCAACTTAGTTATATTATATATATATATATATATATTATACAATGCATATAAGGTGATGTTTTTAAGAGAAAATATAAATTTTCTTAAAAAGCATTAATTTTTTAGAAATAGTTTTTACAAAATTTAAAAAAATTAAGTTTAAAAAAAATTCATGTGTATTTTATTTATTATAAATGTTTAAGACTTATTCGTCTAAACGACAGTATACAATTTTTATTGCATACTCAAAAGAAAAATTTTTTTTTAAATAATTAGTTAAACTCTTTAATTTGAAAGGAGAGTTGAGCAGGTCACAAAGGGTTATTCCATTAAATTTTGTTCCATTTTTCTGTTTATTGAAACTTAAAAACTTACAACTAATTTATTAAATACTCATTTAAAATCTTTGTACATTGAAGTTCTAAAAAACAAATTAGATATGGAATAAAAAATTAATGTTATTTATTTAACTAAATCCATAGTATAATTTTAATTTTAGAAAATATTGACTAGTAATGACTTCAAATTATACTTAAAAAAAATATTTTCAAAGCTATTAATACTTTTTGTGAAGACAAGTAAAGTTTTAATATACCTTTTACATGATCATTACATTTAGGTATATTATACTCTCTATCATACAGATAAATAGAGTACCTAATATAAAAATAGATAATAGAATAATTGTTTCATTGATATTTTTGATTTTCTTGAAGACAAGTATGGCATGGCATTAAATTAATTAATTTACATTGCCATTCGTTCAATTAATTTATGTAAGCCTGTGATATTAATTGTATAATATAATTCTTTTTCTTGACAATTATTGTACATTTACGTATTATAAAATAGCAATGCATGTATTTTTTAATTTTGTTGTATTTAGAATATTAATAGATTCTTTTAATATTTTACAATGTTAAAAAAAATATTGTTGTGTCTCAATAAAACATTGATTTTCTTATAACACTTATCATTAACTCCGAAATTGTAACTGGTCGTATCTAAACTAATTAAAATTTGATTAAAATAATTACAAGTCTAACTAGTATATTTTTTGAATATTATTATTGCCAATCAACATATTATAAAAAAAAATATTCTAAGCTCTAAAATTAAACAGAACCATATGAATTGTACATTTTGTGAATGCTTGCGTGATTATATTTTGTGAACACTCAATGATTGTTAGCTTTATATAGAGGTATGTGCAACATCTGCATATGATGTCTACATATTTATGTAATTTAGACAAATATATCCCTAAAATAATTTTAAATGTCATTTATTCTATCAAATTATTGTTAGTTATATCACAACGGCTTTAATATTAAATACCAAGTCACAAAATACATTTGTTTATTTAATCAAAAATAATTTTGAAATAAAAGTTGAAATAGTGTTTAGTAAAATAAATCTAAAATATTCCATTGGACTTAAGCCTCTGCGGGCATTATTTTATCAGAATTTTTTTTTAAAATTAATATTTCAATTTATAAATTAATACAATTGCATATATTATTAGTACGATAGTAAACCTAATTTTAGTATTTTACCTTATATTCGTATTGTGTATACATTCGTATACAGTGTTAGGAACATAAAGTAAATAAATCATCTGGATAAAGATAACAACATTAAATTTTATCTAAAATATAGATAAAAAATAAATATGTTTTATCCAGATAAATATAGAAAATAAAATAAAAGAAATAAATTATTAAAAAAAATATATACTTTTATTATGAACACGCCTGTATATACGTTTATTTTTGTCTTAATTTGTTACATGTTGTATATCATTAAACATTAACTTTAACACATCATATTATTATTAGTAATTAATATGAGAGTAACTTTTGACTAAAGACTACAAACAATTATATAACTTCACTTCTTAGTTCGTATCATGACATTTCGAATTGAAGAAATAATAAACGCAAAAAGATAACAAGTGAGGAAAATGTTTAATTTAAATATAGCATTTCTAAGAATACATTCTAAAATAACATACACAAAAACGCACACAAAAATTATTAATTAACAACATTAAAAAGATATTTACGAGTATTGTGTATACGAAATAATGTTTAGTATTGTTGTACATAAATGTATTAAAAATAGTTTACAGACAGTTCATAGATCTATGTATAAGACCTGAAATACGTTAATAGCATGTCACGGGATTATAACTTGTTGTCTGTTTATATTAATTGGTATTTTAATTAAGTTTTTGAATATTGATAAAATTATGGGAAATAACTCCGGTCGTGACAAACATTAGTAATATAAATATCTACGTATAATAAATAAATTAGTATATTGTATTTATATTTATACCTGAATTAAGAATATTAATAAATCGGGATAAATAATATTATAGTCTTTTCACAATAACGTCATATTATAATAGTAGCCTGTGTTATTTTATGTACAAGATGCGCCCGAGATTAAGAGAATAAAAGTGAAACATCTTAGGACAAATCTAGCAAATTAAAAAAAAAAAATGTATGCTATGAAGTTATCAAGGTAAGTGAAATATTTAGCTAAAATAAATATTTAGATAACTCGTAATTTTTTATCTGGATAAGATAAATGATAAAAAAAACAATTATCTAGATAAGTCCTAACACTACTTGTATATACAATAAGTATTTATGATATTTAACTACGATTGGACGGAAGAAAATTCATTAAAAAATAAAAATATTATTACTTATTACTCATTAGTATTAATTTATTAATATAAAACAAAAAATATTTATTTATTCTTAAGTGTTAAAATAAGGATTGTCTAAAACTTAGTGTTTGAGTTATTGTGATTTATTGATTACTATAAATTATTCTATACATCTATACTAAATCAATATTCAAAATCTGTGAATAAATCAATGGTAGTGTTGTTTCTATTGTTTTCAGTTTTTAACAATCTTGATACAAGCATATTATTTTAATTATTGTAACTTAGAACATATTTTTAATTTTCATACTCAAACATAACGTGTTAAATTAAAAATGTATGGAAATTCATCAAGGGAAATACAGCAATTGTACAGAATTTAAATTTTTTTAATTGAGTAAATTTAATTTTATTATAGTCCTTAGGTAAATTAAAATAAATAATTATACTTAAAGTGTTTAACAGATTATAATATTTGTTTTATGCATTGAATTATTTGCATAATAGTGTATGACTGATACTCTCTTAATAATCTCAAATCTTCCTGTTGAACAAAACAATGTAATATTTTCGTTAAGTTTTTCATATTGAGCATTTCATTTACGTATTTATTGCTTATTATAAATTTAATATATTTACTTTAAGTGTAAAATAATATATTATGTTGATTAAAATTATCAACGAATAAACGGTTTAACTTTTCAATCAAATTCTCATCTGTTCATTTTACCCAAATACCCAATATAAATATTACTCATTGTTGAACAATGAGGTATATCTTTTGACTGCAGTCAGTAGTGTAAACAATGTATTTCCTACATAAACCGGAAATAATGATGCATGGTGTTTAGAAACTGTTTGAAGAAACAGTTGTAATATAAAAGGGAATTCGTCATATAAATAAAATTACCACTAACCTCTATCTTCGTATTCGATAAATTCCACTCTGAGAGCAATAGCCATTGGTGTCGCAAGTACAAAAGCTATTGCCCAAATGGTGGCTATTGACATTTTTGCTCGGAATTTCGATGGTATTGCGCTGTTAACAATACGAAATAACAATAATACTAATAATAAATCATGACTGTTAGCACAACAATTATTTATACATTTTGAAATGTAATAACTAATAATTATATTGAGGTCTGTTTGTTGTGTAATATAATTTATTTTTACCAAGACAACTTACTAACCTGAGCGGACTGAGAATAGCTCTGTGCCGATCAACTGCGATCGCAGTTAGTGTAAAAATGCTCACATTTACGGAAAGTACTTGTACGAACGGACAAAATGGACACATTAAAGCAGGTAAATTCCATCGTTGCAATAAGGCAGCCTGAAACTTAATTATCATCAAATTTCTATATTAATCGTTTATTTAATCAACCATGATGTTATTTTTTTAACGCATACATCTACACCATCCAGTCTAGTATGCACTTAACTCCGGTATTGCATATTGTATTATTTATAGCTACCGTTCAATATTATATGATATAATTAAACTAACTATGATAGTTAATTACGTAAATAGGTTTGTAATTTAATTATGTTAAATTTTTATCCCAACAGGTACACCTAGAGGCTAGAATCTAGGTCCTAAATGATTATTAGTACCTATCCATGTACATAAATTTAACTAGACAAGTAGCCGAAATAAAATATGGTTTATAACTATTACATTTAAACAAATAAAAAAAATTTATATTAAAGATAAAATATAATATACATATTGTATCACTTAGACAATCATAATTCATTTATTCTCTATTTATTTCTCGTTTTGATTTATTAATTTTTGTTTTTCATTTTTAAGACAAATTTGTAGATCCTCAATTAATAAAATACTTTAATTTATTAGTTATTACACCCTTTCCTAAAATAAATATAAAAGTGTAATTTCTATCAAAACTGATAATTGTAAGTAAAATTAAATTTATTTTATAAGTTTTAACTTATGTCATTGTAAATGAAAAAAAATGTGACTACCCATATTTTTAACATTTTTTAATTCCATCAATTACTAAAACTATTTCAAAACACATATTGAATTTTTATAAGTACGAAATACGAAGAACAAATGTATATAACTCATTTGATTAATAAAATAACATCTAAAAAAATATTAAATTAAAAAAGTTTATAAATAGTTTAAAAAGATTTTCAAAATAATATTATGACTATTAAATACTTAAGAATTTCATTAAATTGTCATATCTCCATGATTATAATAACAATATAATTAAAATTGAGAATTGTACATAAATATTTTTAAATCCTTACTGTTTTTGATAGTTTTTTAAATAAAACTTTTTAATTTAAAAAAATAGTTTTATGAATTTTTATTTATTTTAATAATATTTAACTTATGTATAATGATTTTTACTGAGATATCTTTTACGGAACTATCTGTACCTACCTTATCTTTAAAGATATTTTATTTGTTAATATGGCTCAATAGTGAAACTGGTATAGCCACATGTACCCTTAATTTAAATAATGTGTTGTAGGTAGTACAAACAGAATCGGTGAATAACTGCACTTTTAATACACAGCATTACCAATTGTACATCTGTTAAATAAGTTCAATAAAATTACTTACTTGAAATGGTATTGAAAATAGGCCGATAACAATATCGGCTAATGCCAAGTTTGCTATGTACAAGTTGGTTACGTTATGCATCCGTTTACTGGACGTTACAATCCATATCACTAAAGCATTGCCAACCACTGCCATGACCGAAATTATACCATAGAACATTGACAGAAGAAAAATTATGCTTATGGGCACATCGTATAGAAATGTAGCTATAATATTAAAATAATAATAAAGTATATAAAAATTGATTGTTCTAGTTAAAAATAATAAATAAAGAAAACACGTTTTTTTTTATAATTAATTATCAATATTATAATATATATTATATTTTAATGACAACAGTTTTTTTAAACTGTTTAATGTCATAAATATAGTCTTCTATTTTTTTTTTAATGAAAATTATCTTTTTAAACTATCAAATAGATGATTTTTTTTTTTTTTTAATTTTCGATGTTTAAGCGAATAGATTTTGAGTCATTTAATTTTTCTAAAAATCCTAAGTATTCGAATTTTAATAAATACAATTTTATTCATACATATAAATATATAAAAGAAATAAAATAATAATGCCCCTTCCTTGGTAACATGCTTGGAAAATATAGCCATTTATTAATAATTTTAATAAAATAAATAACATATTTTGAATTCTTAACATTGTAAACACGTACTAAATTATAAATTTATATTATCATATTAGACCCAATTAAATATTTAAATTTAAATTAATAAGATGATTTTAGGGATTACTTCGAATTTAATGTTATTCACTTCTAAAAATTTAACTACATCAGTGGTGTAATATATGATGATTTTTGAATAAATTGTACGTGTGCATGAATTGATTTAACTAACATTTAAGTACCTAGCTAAATTTTAGAGTTATAGAATTGTAAAATATTACTTACAGCGATTACATAGCTTTGTCCAAGCGATAAAAATATATAAAATCCGGGAATGTATATATAAATACTATACACTGATGACTAATTACAGTGTTTTATAGGTATTATATTATAGTATGGAATTGTTTTATATTCATTAAGTTTTTTAAATGAACAACATTTGGATTATGACATATACTATTATAATATCAGTGCATTAAATCAGATTATGAAATAAAACATAAATCATTATAAATAGAATTGGATGGTAATAAATTATTATGATGTTTATTACCTTATAGTTATAGATTTTTATACTTATGATAACCACAAAATGTTACTTATGCGATGCTCAGTAGGTATACATATATTTTTTTTTATTATGGATACATATAATATTATAATAATGCCATGATTTTAATATCAGTAGGTAATATTTAAACAGACAAAATCGCACTAATGAATGTGCTTAATAATGTATATAAAAGTTTTTAAATTAGATACAGAAAAAAATACTTTTGTTCGTAATAGGCACAACAAGTATTAAAATAAAAAGCGGGATGCGGGATATGCAATAAAGATAAAAACAAAACGGTGTATTTTAATACGTTAACTGTTTGTAAAACAAAATGGAGAAAAAAAATCCTTTTTAACTTTTTACACCTAAAAATATACGTTTTAAATATATAAGACTGATTATTCATTCACTTATTCATTAGTCTAATTAAAAGTTTGCGTTATAATTTAATGAATATGTTTTTAAAATGCATCTCAATGTTTTCTACTCAATATATGTAATATATTTATACTTTTATTTAAAAGACAATATAACGTTATACATGTAACACAATAATATGTAATGTATACGTGTTTAAATAATAGTCTTACATTTTTTTTATCCATTTGCAAAATGGCACTATTATTACTTAGGATACGCCCTTAGTATGATGTATATATTATGAAGGACTAACTTTACTATACGTGTGGTATATCTACGTCATATGTACATTATTGTTATAGTTGTTTGTGCCTTTACAATTCTCAAGTAGAAATGCTATTGTTATTATTATAACGTTAAACTTTTTCCAGTAAGAATCTTGTATGTTGGAATTAAAAATAACAATTCATCCTAATATAAACATAATATAATAATATATGAACCAGAAAGTGGAGTAAAAAAAAGTTTTTGATGAAAGACTACGGTGGCATAAGTATACTAGAATGAATTTGAATGAATTGAGTGACGCGTCAATGAATCGCGCCTAACTATCAATAAACGGAAATATTGTTGGCGTTGAATTCGAATGAGATTGGATTATATAGTATATTATAATTTTTATATTATTTTCTCTCAAGTCACGTGCTCGAACCGTACGTTTTTTGATTTAGTAGCAGTACCTGTAACGCAACACTTACGGAACTAGAGAGAAACGTCTATGAAAAAATACAAAATTATAATAACTAAAATCTTTGGAAATCGCTACAATCCTCTCTTGCCATCCATCAACCAATCACTGGGCGTGATGCACGATCTATCACCGTTTTCGAATTATATGCACGTAATTAATTAAATTTATAAAATATTCATAAGAGTATAATATCAAATAGAAAATTATTATATGCATATAAGTACCTATATAATATATTGTTAAAATTATCAATTGTTTCTCTTTGTAATGCAAAATCTAAACTATGAAGTGTTTACGGCGAAAAATTTGTTTTAGATAATCTCTCAATCGATACGGAAAATGTCACTAGTAAGTGCACTCTTTACTTTAGACGTAAGTTATATCTATACTTACGCAAAAACACTTATTCACACACAAACTATGTAAAATTTGCCAAAAAGGCTTTTAAACGGGTAAATGATATTGATATCAATGGTATTAAATAATATTATACTTATTAAATGTATGTTATACATGCTTTATTTACCTCCAGAATTAATTTCACGAGCATGCAAAAAATATTTAAAGGCAATATTGTAATTTTAATTCATCTGATGGTTCAAGAACTAAAATATTATTACTGAATCGTTAAAAAAAAGACCAGTTGAATACGTTTTAAAAAAATATTTAAACACTTATAACATAAAAATGAATAATGCTTACAACTAACTCATTTTTAAAATAAATGAGTCCATAATAATTATAAAATTAATTATTTTGAAAACGTTTTTGATTTTTAATAGACCAAACATATAGATATATCTGAAAACTAAAAGGCTAATTGGCTGTTTAAGTAAGGTTGGCAAAGGACACGTTAATACTTACCTACACATTAATAAATAAACCCAACGAAAAGAAACCAATATGTAAATCTTGTAAACGATGGCTTGTTAGAATAAACAAATACTTGAAAGGTTTGAAAATAAAAAGAATTGATATGGATGATAAAAAACTAAGGAGAATTTTCATAAAAATATGGTTACATTTTTTTATAAAAATCAATGATTCAACTATTATGTTATCATACTATTCAATTTTATAATATTTTGACTATAATATAATATAATATTTTAAAACATAAATAGTTAACTTAATATTTGTGATTTAATTTTATATAAGTGCTGCATATGATGCTCATGGTCTAATTGTTTTACAATTTGATGTAAATAAATATTGTGGAAAATACAAATATGTTAGTATACATTTTATATAATTCATATAAATAATGCAATATACTACTATATTTCATTATATTTATGTTTGTATCAATATTATTATGATTATAAGAGAAATTTAAATAAAATTAAAACCATAATTATTTACAACACAAAATTTAAAAAAAATATATACCTATTTTGGATTTGATAATTTTACTAAAGAAATTATTTATCAGTTAATAAAGTTATAAATATTTTAAAAAAACACAAAAATCAAAAATCTAATATTTTTTGTTGATCTTGAGCCAGGTATAACAAATATAAGGATATATTTGGTGAAATATCAATATTCTATACCAATTGTATAGTATGGTGACATACATTTATAAATCTGCTGTGAATTGTCTAAATTTCTAATATTTAAATACTCGAAAGAAATAGTGTTCTAATTTGTCCATAAATTGCAACAAATCTAAAGAGTCAACTCATTATAAATAAATCAAACTAACAATAATTCACTTTTTGCCAATCCTCTAAAGGATTTTAAATTACTTATAAATTTATCGTTCTAATTTTTCACTCCAGTTCTTGATCACCTTGACTACCAGTTTAAAATATAAAATATTTAAATCATCTATTAGCTGTTTATTTGACTACTGGCTACTACAGAATTCCTTCGGTTTAGTCAATTAAAAAAATAATTAATGAATACATTAGATAAAACTTAAATTGACCTAGCAATCATGGAACTTAATAAACGAATTTATTTTTAATTGAAATTAATTTGCATAAAATTTATATTTAATAATTAATAAATAATGATGTTTTTTGTATAAATAATTAATTTGATTATAAGTACTAATAATATATAATCAATGGTAGTACGTACACATATACTTCAGACAATATTATTGTGTTTAAGTAAAATATTTGAGTCTTCAAAGATTTATAATTAATCATTTACAACTAAGATACTTATATGAATAAATCAACCGATGGTACAAAATATGGTTTACGATCAAGGAGTATTAAAATTAGTAAATATTATAAATGTTGAAGTTGCGTGAAACAAATTCTCTAAAAAGAAAATGAAAAAAAAAAATCAATACTTTTTGAAATGTAAGATTTTCCTTCTGTAGTTTTTATGCATATTTGTATTAAAAATATTAAGTTGGATAAAAATGAAGGACAAGTTCTTTTATTTACTTACGTTCTATATACAAATCCGTGTGATTAGTATAATTATTGCATCTATCTACTGCAATCGAAATGTTACTTTTTAGATTTATATTTTCTTCGAACGATTCATTGCATAAAATTGTGTAATGCATATCATCCATTTTATATAATTTTTATAAATCTGAAAACAAATTTATTAAACATTATTAATTGATAAGAATTAAACATAATATTTAAAATTACGTATTATTATTAAATTAAATTGTTAAAATTATAGTATTATAGTTAGGTATTAGATTGTTTTTTTTTTTTTAAAGTTTCGAAAGTTTTAACTCCTTGTAATGATGGTTCATATTATATCTATGAAAATATTAAAAAATCGATTATTATTTTATTTTATTTTATTTTTAAATACATTTTATTATGAATACAATAACCAAAAAAAAATCATAAGACTAAATTCTTAATTCTGTCAGATGTCAGCATAACTCCTTAAATACATATAATATATATATTGAGAGTTAATGTCATAATCTTTTCAAAGTGTTATAAAAATGGTTTAACAAATTTTAGAATAGAGTTAACAATTTTAGAAAAATACCACTTTTCAAGTGAAGATTACATTAGATTTCTTGAATAAACGCTTAACGTTAGTGAAAATAACCATAATAGTTTATGGAAAAAAAAATCCTATTTTCATATCAAGCATTTTTTTATTTTAATTTCAGTCTGATCAACCTTAATGAAATTGAATCACGCTTTTTGGAAGTACTTTTTGTCTTATTATAACTAGATACTAGATGTATAATTCTCGTTATAAGTTTTCTAAGGAGCAAGTTAATTTTATAGTCTTAGCATCAATAATACATTTCAACTGTTACATATATGGTATTTTTTTATTTTTTTATTTAAAAATAGTTATAGAAAACTGAGTTAGTTGACAACTATGGCTAATAACTACGGTAAAACCATAAATATTTTATGTGTACTATGTATAAATATTAGTTTATTTACAAGCAATAATAGTTTTTATTTTATAGCAAGGATAAAAAATACAATTTGTTGTTTAAAATATAAAAACAAACAAGCAAATCTATAAATATTTAAAAAAAAAAAAATGTTAACCATTTTATATTAATTATAAATTATTTAATATCTTATGACAAAAAAAGTAATTATTATGAATCTAGTAATTTTTTTTTCAGATTAAGATTTTACAAAACTTTGAAACATTAAAATGATTTTAAAAAAATTCTCGGAAAATATTTTCTTTTAAAACCTGTAGTACATAATATTATGTTTATATTAGGTTTGAGAACATTTAAAATATGTATAGTTTTTACATACTATTAAAATTCAGTGGCACCAGTAATTTGAATTCCGATCATAACATTTCCCGAGGAGTAAAAACATCAGATTCTTGAACGGATACTCACACATTAGTTATTGGCGTTATTGCAAATGTGATTCTATGATTTTTTCCATTAAAAACTATAATCTGTATAAATATGTTTATTATACAATTTATATTTATTATCGATATACGTTTACTCGTAATTATTTAAAACAGACGTATTTTTGGTAAGATATAATTATCAGTAAAAAAAAAAAAAAAAATAATAAATAAAAGGTAAGATTCGATGTATACATTTTGTTGATATTAAATTATTTATACGAAATTTAAATATTTAAATAACCAGAAATACTTAAATATATTATAGTATAAATGGACAAGTAACCTAAGATGATATTTTATCTCGAATTTATTTTTAAGTTCAAAATGATAATGTTAAGATTTTCTTAGCTTGAAAAACTGTTATTAATTTAAATCTGAACATATATTTTAAGTCAGTCATATTGTCCAGAAGTCTAAAATTGTTTTTGGTTTACCAGCTACCACAATATGATTTTTATAACAGATGCATATAACAAATAGTAAAATTACTTAAAAAAAAAATATTTCAGCAAAAATGTAATCACTTTTTTAAATCCATTAAACTTATAAAATATATTTTCTGACAAGTGGTATACCAAAAAAGTATATTAAATATTAATAAATGTAACTTATATTTTTAAAAGGATGTACCCTGAAATATATTTTGTTTTTTTCAATTACCATACATGTATATTACTATAGCAAAACCGTTCTTAGAATTTATTATTTTATGGTTGTGAGGTTCAAGTAAGGGTATTAGGGCACAATGGGTTCATTTTTTATAATCTATTATTATAATATTGTTATCATCAGAAATAATATATTTTTTAAAGTCATAGTATGGCTACCATACGTTAGATGTAATCAAATTGAGACCAGATTGACATGGGAACCTAATCCTTGCGTATAATATTGAAGACTAGAAGTTATTATCGGTATTGCCAGTAAATGGCATAAATGATTTTCAATGTTAAAAAATAAATTAAAATATGCAGAAGACGTTTTTAATTAAAATAGTTTATTATATCAGCATATTAAGTTAAATGAAACTTGAAACTTTTACTAAATAGTTAAATATATGCCTAGTTTATTCATTTTTATACATTAGAATACTAAAAATGCTTTTTTTTTAAAAAAAATTGAAGACATAAAATAATTAAAAATTATTTTTATTTTTTAAAAAATATTTTTAGTGTTATATTATTTAATTGTAATCTTGTAATTGCTTACAATTTTTCCTATAATTTACGATACTTGTTATTTTTATTCATATTATTCATTAAATACTATTATTATATCTGATATTAAAATATTTTTATATTTTTTATACTTATAGCCAATTGGTTTGATCGTTCGGAAATAATATATCAAATATATTTATATTTTAAATAAAATTATAAGGTATTGCAGAAATAATAATAATTTTAAAAATGTGCATAGTATAAAGTTTTTATAAACTTATATATTAATACCATTTGATTTATCATTTACATAATATATTGAATTATATATATATGTATAATGTAGATTATTTATTTTTCATCAGTATGAAAAGTATTAAATTTTTTTTTTAGTAATATACTTGTAAAATTAATATCAGATACTTATTTATTTAAAAATTATAAAAAAATAAATATTTTCAAAATAGGCTACTATTCACGTGATATTGTGTGATTGAAATTCACAACCTATACATTAAACAAAGAAAATATTTACCCACAAAAGATTATTTTTACCATGAATCACTTTTCTTATTTTTAAATTTATTTGCTTGGTAAAAAACAAAAAACTATAATAATTAACAACAGCAATATTTGAAAATAATAACAATTTTCTGATTTTAAAACATTAAAATACTTAGCTACAAAGACGTATTAATTAAACACATAACAACTGAATACTATCAAAAGTTTTATTTTATTTAAAAATTATATACAAATATACGAGGGACATTAAAGATGAATGATTTGGTTTTTGTTTTTAATACGATTTGCATATTCTTAAAAAAATAATTTTTTGTGTCTGCTACTTGTTTTAGAGGTGAAAATTTTACAATTTTAAACTTTTAAAGTGTTTTAAAGTAGATATTTGTATTTAGTAGGTACTATAATATATATATACCCCATAGAATATCTTATAATACTAGAGATAAGCTGAAAAAAAATATTTCACTTAATACCAATTTTTAATAATTTTATTTTGAAATTATTAAAAAAAATATAATGTAAAAAAATCTAAAATCAATTATAACTTTAGTAACACGGCGTGTTAAATAGGCAAATTAGCTACATATTTTATTTTATAAGCTGAACAGGTACCCCGACAAAAGTAAAGAAGTAGTAGTAGATTGACATAATCGAGAGTTTATGTTGAAGATCATTTTCAAGGTATTTCATTTAATATATACATTCATCAATTAATATACATATTTTATTATTTATTTTAGATTCTGATCGGAGTGATAAATGTATTGATTTCATAATGATGTGTGTGTTTTTTTTTTTGTGTCTGTGTACAGCATAAGTAGTCGAAATGATGCTTCAATTTCAAACTTCGGGGGTGGTTTCTGATGGCAAAGTGAATATCTTTGGTACATTATAGAGGTAAAAAGTAAACATTTTCTAACAGTTTTCAAAAAAATCGAGAAAAACAAAAAAAAAAAATGACGGAAAAACGGGAATTTTTACACAAAACCAGTTTTCGACCAAATCGATTTTTTTATATAGTTGTAATTATAATGATATAACTAATCACTGTAAATACTTGAAATTTTCACCAAATTTTTATGTTAAAATTATCTATAAACTGTTTAATTTTCAAAATATTTTGACTTTTTTTGAGCTATTTATAGACAACTGAAATTATCGATTTTTATGAGAATTTTTTTTTTTTTTTGAAGTGTTGATAAAAAAATGTTGAAAATTTAATACATGGTTTCTTATGAGTTGTTCTTATTGTAGCTAAAAAAATTAAAAATCGTCCATCACAATTTTTTTTTATAAACGTTTTTAGTTCAAATATTTACAAAATCTATCGAAAACGCGAAAATTTGTAAGTAATTTTGAAGTTGAAAAATCATAACATTTTTTGTGTTTATAACTAAGGATTAAAATTATAATACTCTATGTTTTCCCTAAGTTTTCCTCCAAGTACTATAGTAAAAACTCAAAGCATCATTAAAGGAAAAATTTTAAGTGCGTTTGAATTTTAAATTTTTACGAAATAGCGTAACGATAACGATTTATCCTCAAACGATTTTAAATATTTGTGAATATTCAAAAAAGTATAAGTCGTAGATACTTGAATATTTTACTAGTTATTTAGATTGGCATTTTCTTTATATGATTTAATTTTCAAAATATTTTAACTTTTTTGAGCTATTTATAGACAACTGAAATTTTCAATTTTTCTGAAAAGTTTTTTGTAAAGTGTTTATGATATTTTTTTGGCCCAATCAAAATACTTGAACATTTAATACAAAATTCCTCATAAGTTATTCTTATAGCGATCAAAAAATTTTAAGAATACATAGGCACAATTTTTTTTTTTATTAGCATTTGAAGTTCAAATATTGATAAAAATTCGTCAAAACCATGAATATTTGCAAACTATTTTGTTGGTATAATTCATAAAAATTAATAATTAATTGATTAACTAAGAATTTTGCAAATGCGTTCTAATTGAAAAATAAAATATTTGTCACCTCTTAATGTACAGCAGAGCGGTACCCACTTGCCCGCTTTTTTTTATTATTATTATTTTTTATGTATATACTTATATCAATTTTATTAAATTATAAATATTTTTATCAATTCTTCTATAATATATTAATTATATAACAATATTATATTATATGATTTGAAATTTGAACTATATAAAATTATTTATTGCTATTATAAAATTACTTCTATAATTCATACTGGCGATATGTGTGCTGGCGATATTTATTCCATGTGGTATTTTACTGGCGATATTTTGTCGGCGATTCAGCTGAAAATATAATGATAATTTTATTTTAAACAATTTATTAAATGTACTTTATTTGTTTATTTTTAAGTACGGTATGATACTTTTTTTAAAATCTTAAATACCACCTACTTTAAAAGAATAAATTACGTTACACGAATAAAAAATTAAAAATATTACACAAGTAATGATGCATGTGTTTTAAGTTTCAGTGCATCTCGGAGTAAGCCAAATATCATTTCCTACCTACGAAATTACTGGGAGCTTGCATTTAGTTATCTAATTAAATATTTACTGTTTTGCATCTTCTAGAATATTATCTAGTAATCTTGGTTATTGTTATTCTTCGTTTAAGTATCCGATGTAAGCAAAATTAAAACTAAAAATATCTATAAAAGAAAATTGTGCTTATATTATATAGTTTTTTTATAATTTTTTATTTAAAAATTAGGTATTTATGAAGAATATTGTATTCAATTTTGAACCTTAAGCTATAAAAATTGAAATTTACATAAAATTTGAACAGAAAAACAATCTATAAATGTTTGTAATCCTTGAGGAATTTTAATAAAATTCAAATTTAAGATCTTCATACATTATTTTTATGTATTTACGCAGTATTTTTAATTTTAGTAATGAGAATTTATAAGGTTTATTGTTGAAATTTATAAATGAGTGAAGGTCGTTTTAGTTGAATCTTAAATGTATAGATTAATTCGGAGTTACACCTAGATCAATGCATTGAAATTTATAAAATACTAATTTATTTTAGTTGCAATATAATAATATAATTTGTACCTCATCATTATATCATTTTAATATGTAGATACATATTTGAATAACTGCTAGTTTTTTGCTATTATAATTTTTTGGTGATGGTTTATTTAATCAATGTTAAGACTATTAGACTAATCAGCTTAAAGTTATATTTGCCTAACGATCCGAACTCGAACTTGAAATTCAATTGCTATAGAGTAATTTAAACAATATTTTTTTCCCATTTTGGAGTTTGATTCCACTATAGACTTATCGATGAATACTTTTTTAGATATAATTTAATAAGTACATTGATTAAGAGTTGAATAATGATTGCTGGA